TAATCCTGTCTGGGACCACCTCTTAAGCTTGGGATAGTTTCAGTCCTAGCCAGAATACATTGCTGGTTCATAATGAGGGAGATTGTTTAGAATAGATGCTAAGGTTCCATCAGTGATGTTTACTATAGAAGGTCTTAAAGTGCACTAAGAATGGATGGAAGAAGGATCCAACAAGTCTGCATTTTAAAATGTTCAATTCAAATAACGTTCTTAAGCTGGATATATGGTTGAAACAGTAATTGGTATAGAAGGGTAAAAGTTGAAAAGTAGATGGATTGACTATACACAATTAACCTCTCTTCTTTTAAAATACGCACTGAAGTGTCAGAAAAATAATTAAAATGGTAGAAACTAACAAAGATTAAGAATGCGCAAGTGAACACACATATTTTTTCTAGGACAGAAAGCAGGTGGAAGAGCAATTAAGTTAGCAGTTTCAAAAATAGCCCCTGAAGTTCCTGCATTGAAGATACTCACAAGAAACACAATCTCATCTAAGTACAAGATTTGGAGGAGCCAAATGTATAAGAAGACTGAAGTCAGTTAAGGATGGAAAAAAGTTGTTAGTTGGAAGTATGTGTAGAGGATAATTAAATTCTCTATTCTTCTCATCATCCTACATAGACAGAAATGTAACTCATGGTCAGAGAATGGAAGGTTTATTCTCTGGAGAAATTTAATGGACTTTCTCTAGTCTTGGGGATCTAGACAGAGCTGAGCACAAGTGTGAGGTGTCAAACTGAAAATAGGAAGAGTAAGCAAACCTTTGCATTTTGCATGGTGAGACTTCTAGTCCCTTTCCATGCAATACTCTTAGATTGTAGAACACAAGATATATACCTGGCCCCCAGCCCACCCCACATAGTGGATATTCTAGAATTCTAACCTGGAGAATATGAAAGTCCCAAACAAAGACACAATTGATATTTGGGGTCTCCTAAGGTAATAGCCATATCCTAGCATGCTTATATTAGAATGAAACCCTGCCATCAACAGGTACTGTTCACTCAGAGTTGATTGTCAGCATTTTGATATATCATCCTTCTAAAATATGAGAAGATAGCCAAGGCATTTGAGGAAATGCCTATAACGTAACATAGACCAAAACTACCACCATCACTACCACCATGAAGAAAAGGAACAATAATATAGAAAGCAGAAGAAAGCTTTTGAAAATGTCTGATTAATATTCCCAGAGAAAGAAAATCTAATAAATGCTAATACTTATTTAGTATTTACTCTATGCCACTCATTGTTCTAAGCAATTCATAATGCATTTATCCATTTAATCTAAATAGCAACTGTATGAAGTATGTATTCCTAGTGTAAGGTGAAAAATAGGTTAGGACTTAAGTGCTCCTTACTAGCTGTATTGTCTTGGACAAGTTCTTAACTCCCCTTAGACTCACTTTCACTTTTACAGTGGATATATTATAATGATACTATATAATGCATTTTTAAAGAATAGCTTAATTATAAATGAAAGAAAATATTACATTTATAAATCTTAACAGGATACCATGAAAAACATTCAGAGAACCAAAAACAGCTCTTAAAAGTAAATATTCGTCAGTCATAAAGAAAAACTTAAATATAAAAGATTGAGTGATTAAATAAATTGTCCAAAAAATGGAACGAGAGGCAAAGATAAAATAAGAAAGGAAAAAAAGCTTAGAGTCTTATAGAGTCAACCTAGGAGGTCTAATATTTGACTGAGATTCTTGTTGAAGTAAGAATTCAGAAAACTCATGGGAGAAATTACAAGTAAAACATACTAAGAAATTTTTTTAATTGTTTTTGTGTGGAGACAGGGTCTCACTATGTTGTCCAGGGTGGTCTCAAACTCATAGCTTCAAATAATCCTCCTGCCTCAGCCTCTCAAAGTGCTGATATTGCAGGTATGAGTCACCATGCCCAACCAAAATTTCTCAGAAATAAATCTGATAGTCTGAACATTAGCCAAGGGGTCTAGCACACTGTAATTCCAGCTACTTGTAAAGCTGAGGCAGAGGAGCTGGGGGCTGCAGGATTGCTATGATTGTGCCTGTGAATAGCCACTGCACTCCAGCCTGGGTGACACATTGAGACACTGTCTTAAAAAAACATGAACAGGGCATAGCCATATGACCAGATTAATAAATAAAGCGCCAGTACTAAGGTGTTTTCAGAAGACCAGGAGAATTTTTTTCAATGCTCCCAGAAAGAAAAAAGGGGGAGATCACATAAAAAGACATAGAAATCAGAATGGAATCAGTCTTCTGAACAGTAAAGGAGCAGTGCTTTTGAAATCCGAGGGGAAATTATTTTCAACCTAGAGTGTTATGCTCAAACTATCAGCTAAATGGGAAAAAAGAAAATAACACAGCAAGCTCTCAAAAAGTTTTACTTCCTCTGTATCAATTTTAATGAAAGTATTGAGAGATGTGCATCAACAAAATAAGAGAATAAACTAAGAAAGAAGAATATGTTGGATCTTGTAAAAGAGGACCAACAAGGAAAATATTTTTAAAGTCCTAGGGTGACAGCCTGTAGCGCAACCACTATAAATGAAGCAGAGATCTGGGTGAAAGATCACCAAGAAACAAACATAATTGATAGGTATCTGATGTATTTGTATATTTTGAGAAGAAAGAGGTTCAAATGAGAGAATGTAAAGAAACTAATAGCAGTAAATGGAAAATTATGTAAGTACAAAACAATTTTCAGCTCTAGGAAAAATGTTTTTCAAGAAAGGAAATGTAACCACACTACACTAATGTGTATTTTGAAAAAACCTTAGCAATATGGACACTATTAGTTTAACTTAAAGAAAAAAAAAAAAAAAGCTAGGCTGGGCATGGTGGCTCATGCCTGTAATCTCAATAGTTTGGGAGACTAAAGCAGGTGGATCATCTGGGGCCAGGAGTTCAAGGCTGGCCTGGCCAACATGGTGAAATCCCATCTCTACTAAAGATACAAAAATTAGCAGGGTGTGGTGGTGGGCGCCTCTAATCCTAGCTACTCGGGAGGCTGAGGCAGGAGAATCACTTGAATCCAGGAGGTGGAGGTTGCAGTGAGCCAAGATCACGCCATTGTACTTCAGCCTGGGCGACAGAGTGAGACTCTGTCAAAACAACAACAGCAACACACCAAACTGTAACAATTCTATTGGGAGAATAGGAGAAAGGGAAAGGGAATGTGCATTGTTTATATTAGTTTATATTGGTTGGAAAGAAAACCTTTTTTAAAAAATCCATAGCAAGAAATGATTAAAGTATAAAATGGAATATCATGATATAACAGTAAAAACATATATTTAGAAGTATTGAGGTAATTCTAGAGGGAGCCACTCAACAGAAGCAGACTGGAAATTAAAGAGAATATTGTTTTTCTTTCTTCCTTTTTAGGAGATGGAATCTCACACTGTCACCCTACCTGGAGTGCTATGGCAAGATCTTTGCTCACTGCAACCTCTGCCTCCCAGTTTCAAGTGATTCCCCTGTCTCAGCCTCCTGAGTAGCTGGGATTACAGGGGCATACCACCACACCCAGTTAATTTTCATATTTTTTAGTAGAGACAGGGCTTCACTCTGTTGGTCAGGTTAGTCTTGAACTCCTGACCTCAGGTGATCTGCCCACCTTAGCCTCTCAAAATGCTGGGATTACAGGTGTGAGCTACCCCACCCAGTCAAGCCACTGAGCCCACTCTTGTTTTTCTTTATAACCTTTAGTTCATCTGATTTTTACATTTGAAAATAATGAAATGAATTTACAAAATAAAAGGAAAAGTGAATATTTTTCCAACAGTCCACCAATATTCTTACCCACAGATTCTCAGAATGTTTTAATATTTCTATTTATGTTCATGCAGTTTATTACATTTTGTATTATAAGACATGATCTGTATACATAAGCATTAAAAATATTAGCCAAGTAAGTGTAGTGTATTTAAGAAAATAATACAAGCACAAAGATATTAATGAAATTTAATATTGATCACAAAATAATATTTAATTTACCGTGAGCACATTAATAATGAAATGATGTATGATTTAGAACTAAACAATGGGGCTTTTAAAATTAATAAATAGAATGTTAGAATAAGGTTGGAAGTGCAGATATGACTTCTTCCATGAAGGAAGTACAATACACAGGTGGTTAGGATCATAGGATGCAGGTGGTGAAAAATACTAGGAGAGGCTCCGTGTGATGGCTCCCACCCATAATCCCAGCCTTTTGGGATGCTGAGGCAGGCGGATCACTGAGGTCAAGAGTTACAGACCAGCCTGACCAACATAGTGAAACCCCATTTCTACTAAAAATACAAAATTAGCTGGGTGTGGTGGCACGCCTGTATTCCCAGCTACTTGGGAGGCTGAGGGAGGAAAATCACTTGAACCCAGGAGATGGAGATTGCAGTGAGCTGAGATTGCGACATTGCACTCCAGCCTGGGCAACAAGAGCAAAACATTATCTCAAAAACAAAAACAAAAACAAAAACAAAACAAGAATCACAGGAGAAAAATAAGAACGCAGTTTCTAGAACGAGAAATAATAAGTAAATTATTGTACACTTGAAAAGGATCAAAACCTTAAAATCATTCTTTAATTGGATACTATCTGTTAATTAATACAAAAAGTGTTGACAATGTTATTCACAATAATATGCAATACTTGAAAACTGAAACTAGGCCTGGCGCGGTAGCTCACCCACCTCATCCCAGCACTTTGGGAGGCGGAGGGGGTGCATCGCTTGAGCTTTACAAAAAATACAAAAATTAGCCAGGCATGGTGGCACACGCCTGTAGTCCCAGCTCCTTGGGAGGCTGAGGTGGGCTGATCGCTTGAGCCCAGGAGGCAGAGGTTGCAGTGAGGCAAGATCATGCCACTGAACACCAGTCTGGATGACAGAGCAAAACTCTGTCTCAAAAAGAAATTAATTAATTACAAAATTAAAAATACAGTTAATTGTATTGCATAACATAACTAGTTTAAAACTAAATAATATTAATACGGTTATGTAAAACTTAAAAAGTACATGAAAATGTAAATAGCATTCTTACTAAAAATTAAATTCAAAGCTATTTCGAAAGGTGGGATTTTCTTCACTATTCTTCCCACGACCCTTTGCCTGCATATGAGGGATAACTGGTTTTAGGAACCTGAACTCAGTGGTCCCAGAGCCTCCTGCCAGACACACCTCGTACTGGTAGCTCTGAGACAGGGTCCCGGTGCCGCTCACGTCCACCAGATGCCCTGGAAAGGGACCCTCCGACACCGAGCAGCGACCCACCGAGGCCGCCCTGCTCCTCCTGCACAGCCGCACCGCCACGAACAGGAGCACCGAGAACA